TTCATGTTCAGTAATAAAGTAGAACGACTTGTTTCTGTTTTAGGGGTCGTGTAATGGTTTTATGCAAAATGGATGCAAAAAACGAAGGTTGTGCGACATTTGCGCACAACCCGAGAACAAATTCCACCTGAAATTGACGAAATATCAGCGCGGCTGTCAAACACGATCTTTCCAAATATCACGCTTTCTCCGCAGCCCTGTGACTCATCACAGGCACTAATAGAAATGTCAGAAACACTGCCTTTAGCGCTTCTTACTCATATGAAAAGGTGACATGTAGCATGAAATTGTACCAAAAGCGACACACGAACACCTGTGTTTGAAGCTCGTCTTACTGCCTGCTGGTTTCTGAACATGCTGCTTCATTCACAGCTCCGCACCGCGTGAGGGAACGCTGCCTTGATTTGGTTAAGTAACTCTGAACAAAGATGAATGCACTCTGCAAAAATTAACTTCTAAATGCACGAGTCTCCTCACAGACGATTTTCGGATGTTAAAAGCCTCGCTTTAGAAATTGCACTCAGTAAACCTGCTGTGGCCCTGCTGGAGACTGCGCCGTCTGCAGGTCTTCACTCTGCACGTTCTGTCTGTGATGCCTTTACCTGCTGGACTCATAAGCCCGTGGACGTGTCGAGTCGCTGTGACATTTAATTTAATTGAATGGATCTGAATTCACCATTTAACATGTCTGCAAGTGTTTGCACGGTGCTCCTTGGAAAGGGCATAAGTAGACTTCTTGTTCAGTTGAAACTCAGCACCCGTCTCCCCCCCTCTGCCTCTCTCTGTTCGCTCCATTTAACTGAAGCCACCAGCTACATGAATACCCATGAACAGCCAGGAGCTCTGCCAACAGCTCCATTACAATCTGCTCTCTACCTCCTCTTCATCCCTCCCTCCCTCTTTGTTCTCTCTCCATCGCTTCACTCTTTTCCCCCTGCTCTTCTTCTCTTGCTTCAAATCTCTCTCTACCTTGTACTCCATGGCCAAAGTATGGAGACGTCTGAATGTTGCACCTGTACAAAGTCCACTGATAGTCTGGTATCTAAATAGACACGCTGGCTCCTCGTTTATGTGATACTGATAGATGCCAAAGTAGTAACTATTTCTTGTTTGCATAGATCTGAAAAGGAGTTATTCAAAGTGTCACAGTAAGCCCATTTTGATTGTTCTTTATCAGCATATCAGTAAAAAGTTACTGTTTTGCAGATAAAGTGCAATCGTATACGTTTTTTTCAGCTTCTCTTCACTGACGCCAAATTTAAGCTCCTGTAAATCGTGTTTGTAACCTCTCATCTTGCAGCAATAATGCTCGAATCATTCCCTACACAGTCTGTAGCCTGAAGCTCTCCACTGTGTTTGTTGTGTTGATGCCTTTTGGAATATTTTAATAGAGTTATGTGAAAACTAATGTGGCTAATTCTAGGATTTTATTAATCTGTTCAGTCAGCAGATTCGCGTGTCTGGGCTTCACACCTGTAAAGTTCGTGAATGCAGCACGCTAACCAGGCTAGCTAGCTCTGCCCTCTCGTGTGGCTTAAAAACAAATC